AAATATTTTCTACAATGTGATTTGTACAACTATTTCTGATCACAATTCCATTGTCAATGCAAAGAAAAATGTCACGAATAGAATTGAAATAGTTTAAAAAGTATATATATTTATCATCTTTGTCTTTGCAGTAGATGTAATGATACGTATATGTGTACTCTGCATTCAACAATTATTCTATTTTTTTAAATATAAATACGTTTATTTTGCATAGATCGATATATAAATTTATAATATATAAATTTGAATAATTGAGTTTTTTAAAAATATAAAACGATTCTATATTTGCAAAATTTTTATATCATTTTTAAAAATTGTATGGAGGAAGAGAACTGACAAAACGTGTCGATACTTTATCATAGAAAGATTTTTTTATAATTTTCAAAAATCATTTTAATTTTTCAAATACGCTATATTTTTGTTAATCCTAATAAAAGAGTAGATACTATTATATAATAATGATGTATTGATTATGGTATATGTCACAATGATTCATTGTTTTGTAGATTGATTTTAAAACTAGATAATATTTTTAAAAAGAAAATACTAAGAAAATATTAAATTACAGATTAAATTAAATTAAAAATACAAAATTATAAAAAGTGAACAAATTAAGAAATTTGTAATGTTAAGAAAACTGTAATGTTATATACAACACTATAATCTGACACTTAGCCACCTGACTATAACTTTACTAAAAATAGAAAAAGATTAATCCTTATTAAAGATATAGGATAATTTTGCATTGTTTAGAAAGCTCTATCATCAGTTATAAAAATGCATTGGTGTATTTGTACTTTTTAAATTGAACTTTACGATCTTTATCCATGAATTGATTCCTTCTACCACTTTAAATAAGAAAGTACAATGTCAAAAAATTAATATTTCTTGAGATACATATTCTAAATTTTATAAGGTATTGGCGTCGTATTCGTCCTTCATTACATGTTTTTTTTGTGATAATAAAACAGTTTAAATAAATATTGTCAACATTAAATCACATCACAATTATAACATCAGATGATTTAGAAACATAGGTTTAAAAATATAATTTTTAGAAAAACTATTAAAGTGCTATAAAAACTATAAAAACTATTTCATTAGAAATAAAAAGATGTATTATATTACTTAAAATAATACGATGTAATATATTATTCGTATATATACTACAATCATAAAGTGTATATTGTAAGACAATAAGAGAAAAGAGGAAAGTAGAAAAGAAATGGAAAGAACCATTTCGTTCAGGCCTGCTACTGACCTCATCGATTAGACGACTTATTGTTAGCAGATTCTATCTTACATTGTTAGACATTGAAATGGAGGGCAGAGAAAAACGCAGAATTTTCTTCGATGACAAAAAATGAAATTCGGAAGAATTGTTTGCAATAAAAATTCTTATATTGTTAAGAAAGCCTCTACAAAAATTTCTTTGGGGAAATTCTGTTAATGTTTCCTCATTTTTCTTTTTTATATTTCGAAAAATGATGGAGTTAATTAAAGTAATTGTATATTCGTCATTTATTTAGTAATTGTATATTCGTCATATTTACAATAAAAATTTCGTTTATTAATCTGCAACAATATTCAATACCAAAATATTTAATTGTAATAAAGATTGAATTTTAACTTTAAGTTCGGTCACCGATATTATTCAATACAGATTATTATGATACATCATGATATATTCTATTAAAATAAGAAAAAAAGCTTTTAATACAAAACTTCAGTTTTCCACGCATGATTAGGTAATTGCCAGATAAAACTATGTACAACATACAAATGGTGTATGTACAACATACAAATGGTTAAAGTGTATTTTATTAACTGAACATTACTTAAATTAATTAAAACTGAACATAATACATGAATTAATTAAATAACATTATATTATTAATTGAATATTATACTAATTTAAATATTAAATCTTCGAGTGCATGTAGGAGATTGATAAAAGAAAAAAAGAAAAGAAAAATGTTACAGATATTTGCTTGTTTTTGCCACAATTTGAAGAAAATTATGAAAAAAAACAAAAAAGGTTTTTTGTTTATTGTTAATAGTATATTTTTTAATCAATATTTTACTTTATAATTATTTAGTTTTCTATTCTATCTATTTTACTTTCTATTTTGCTTTATAATTATTTAGTGAAAATATAAAAAGATAGGAAAGATAAATTATCAACTAAATAAAATTGTTAACTAATTCTTTAAGGCTTTTTGAATATTACTGATCGATAAACAACTTCATTTAGAAAGGGAGTTTAAATCAAATATATAACTAAGCAGTCAAATCATGCAATATTGAATAGAATTTTTAAATCATTTATTTGATTGTACACTGAATATTTTTAAGTTAATAATAATTTCATAATGGCAAATACATTAAATATTTAGAAAATTAAAATCAATTCTTCAGACATTACCTTCATAACATTATTTTTTATTCTCCTAGTTATATTAATATATGGCATCTGAATTAACCATAACAATAAATTATTATAAATTATTAATTAATTAATTAATTAATCATAAATTAATATAGATTAATTGTAGTAACAAATAACACTGTGTGACATGAAAAAAATTTTTTAATAGTGAATAATCACTTCTGATAGATTTTTGCGTGTTTATTATGAATCTGTTCTTTTTCATTATCTTGTTTCGTCACCAGAAATTCAATTTTGAAAAAAAAAACTTTAAAAAAAAATTTTCTACTTGAAAAGTAAAAGATATATTTAATTTCCGTTTGCAAACTCTCCCTAATCAATGATATATTCAATCAACGATATATACATATATATACAAGATGTTATTATTGATAAGAGAATTTTGTGAAATTTTGTAAAACATGAGAAAATGTTCCGAACACAAATTATACGGTACCGAGGACAGATTTATTGACCTTTTATTTATTTGACTTTTTGATATAATTTTAAAAAGTAACTAATGAATTTTTAGGCTAAAACTTGTATTTTTTATTGTACGTTATTATAGCTGATATCGAAACATTTTAAAAGCTTTATTTATATGTATTTTTTGAATAAATTATTTCCGAAATATAAAGTTGACATGTTACCAGCATTAGTAGCAAACTAGGAAAAATAGTTCAAATACGATACACATATCTCTCCTTTCTTGTCTGTAAAGACTTGTTTCATTTTATCTATTAGACATGCATGCATATTGTGAAAATTAACCAAATGGAGATGTCTATGAAAGCAGATCTTTATGTAAAGACGGACATCCATCTTCGTGAATTGCTGAGAATTTTAAGATTCATTAGCTTAACATACTTATCAATATAGTGATACACGCAATATCTTTTCAGATGTACGAAGTTGAACACTAATATTGATCATAAGTTAACTTTAAAAATTTATATCTCGGAAACAAGAAGCTTATGTAGAAAATACATGTAGGTGGTATTTTAAAAATGTCCCGACGCGAGATAATAATATACAGTAAAAAATTCAAGGTTACTTTTTCAACGCAGAAAATAAAATTTTTTCAGACTTTTTCAAAATTATCACAAGGTCAAATAAACGATAAAATGATTTATTCTCTTTTTTTTTGTCTGAATAATAATGATATTTTCTTCAAGAATTTTTACTAGTAACAATTAGGAAGCTGATTTCTTTTTAGTCCTTTATGAAATATTAAGGTATAGTCCCTTATTAGAATACATAATGCTAAGGGTAATAAAAAGCAATATTTATTTCTTCTGTGTCATGTTTTTTTCTTAAAAATACTTACAATTCCATTAAGAAAAAAAAGAATTGGAGCTCTGAACTCAAAAACATTTATTGCTGTAGAGGTTAAATACAAATAATATTTATTTAACAATAATGTTGGTGATTACAATAAATAATTAAACAAAGTAATGACACAAAATAATATACTCGGTCACTACTTAAATAAACTCTTTTTTTACAATTCAATTAACTCTTTTTTACAACTCGATCGACGCTTTCTCACAACTTAAATCGACTCTGTTCCACTCCTCCATCTTTCTTTAAAAAGAAAAACACTTCATACCATACCGTCGCGTTTCTTCCACCACATTCATATTTTTCTTCTTTCATGCATTTATTCACATTGCAGGACCTCTGTTATAATTAAACAAAGTACTGCACTCGGCTATTCTGATATTCTCACAGTCACTGTTACTGTTGTCGGACAAACTATCACCTCGTAAATCCAAGGCTTCAGATAATCTACTGCTGTTTGGTAGTCGTTTGTGGTCCTTCGTGCTTATCGATTTTTTGCACTGTTGTATCGGTCATTTCGTAACACTTTCGTCACATAAAATTTAAGAAATTTTGAATAAAGTTTCAGTCCTGACCTGTCTGTGTTCGTTTAGTTGCAACCATGTCTCCCTGTTTATATCGCATAGCATCTTTTCTCTTTTTATCATATAATTTTCTATTTTGGGCCTACACTTCAACGATCTTTTCTCTTATCTTTGCTCGGATCCTGTCGCGTTTTTCTTTTTCAACTTTCGGTCGCGTCTCTTTAATACAAAAATCAGTACTTAGAATCGCTTTTGTCTTATTAACACCAAAATGACCACTCTCGCGGGCCTGATGAAGTACTTGTGTATGCATCGACCTTGACACGATCACCAGCTGGCTCATCGCCAACTTCTTTGTATAGCATACAAATAAGTTTTTCTTTTAACACGATCGGACTAGCGTAATCTGAATGAGACGGTCGTATTATCTGCCAACCAAGATTCTACCTGCGACTTCGTTCTTTTCTTGCGAGACGCGGTCTTTCGTAAACTAGAACATCGTCTTGGAGAATTAAATTTTCATTTTAATCCCTACTTTGCGCGATTCCCTAAGTTCGTAATTTTGGATAACTTTTTTTATCGTCTCTTTTTTTATGCAATTCTAAAAATGTCGGAAACTTTATCATCATTACGTATTTTAGCATCATCGTTACTTATTTTGCGAATGGAAATGTCCCCTCTTCATTCTCTTTTTCATACTCATACGTTCAGTTCAACGTAGTTAGAAAATCCCTGCTAACGATTAGTGCGTGCTGTATTAAAATATCTGACACTAGATGAATTGTCATTAAATACGACGTGTTATCTACTGTTACTTCTGTTGCGAACTCTCCCAAAATACTATTACTCTTAGAATCGACATCGCGGAATATTATAATTTTACTACTTAATTTCGGCGCTCCTACTTTAATATATTAATCTGCTCTCTTTAAAGTTAAATCGCTATCTGTATCAATTAAAGCAGTCAATTTACATTTCACTATCTCCGCTTCCTTGCAACGCTTTGTTTGTGACGGATGCGATACGCTGCATGCATTCATCGATAGTCTATTTGATAGTCTAATTACCACAATTCGGAACAATATGCCCATATTCTCGACATTTGAAGCATTTAGTACTCTTATTCTTTGTGGGGCAGTATGCAATCAGATGATATCGATTTCTGCATAGATACAACGCCGCACAACCTTCTGCGTCGCCTCATTGCAGACCGTCGGTTTCTTCAGCTCCTCTTCAGTTCGCTTGCTTCTCTCTCTCTCTCTCTCTCTCTCT